TAAGCTCCCATATTTCTTGTTCATCTGCTGTGGTCCATGCAGTCTGGGTTTTGGAGCAAGGATATCACTAATGTCTGGAATGACAAGGACAGTGCTCTGAGGCCTGAGCAGTGCCTGTGGAGAATGGAGAGAGGAAGAGAAGGACTCCTAGGACTTGTGCTGGGCAGTGAGCTCAGCCTTGATTTTCCTTTCTGTTCCAAAAAGGTGACACCTGGGGTCCCCGCCCTCTTCAGTACTTCCTTGATTTCTTTTTGTTTTGTTTTTGTTTTGAGATGGAATCTTGCTTTGTCACTCAGGCTAGGTGCAATGGTGCAACTGTGGCTCACTGTAGCATTGAACTCCTGTGCTCAAGGAATCCTCCCACCCCAGCCTCTCTTTGTAGTTAGGACCAGATGTGTACACCACTACACTTGGCTACTTTTTGCCTATTTGTATATTTTGTAGAGCTAGGGGCTGGCTGGATTTCCCAGGCTGGTCTTGAACTCCTGGCCTCAAGTGATTCTCCCACTTCTGCCTCCCAAAGTGCTGAAGTTAAAGGTGAACCACTACCCTTGGCCTTCCTGAATTTCTTTTCTTTTTTATTTTTAAATGGTGTCTTGCTCAGCTGTCCAGGCTAGAGTGCAGTGGTGTGATCATAGCTCACTGCAGCCTCCAACTCTAGGGCTCAAGGAATCCTTGTGCCTCAGCCTCCTGAGTAGCTAGGACTATAGGCATGCAACATCACATCTGGCTAATATTTTAGTTTTTTGTGACAATCTCCCTATGTTGCCCAGGCTAGTCTTGAACTCCTGTCCTCAAGTGATCCTCCCACCTCTACCCCCCAAAGCGCTGGGATTACAGGTGTGAGACACTGCACCCCGCCGTGGATTTCTTAAAGAAGGCAGAGGACAAAAAAAAAAAAAAAAAAAGACTGAAGGGGAAAAAAAATGAACAAAAGAGCTAGGTTCCAGATCGTTTTCTCCAATCCCTCAAAACTAATTGCTTAGTTAGGTCTTCAAAAATGTAAGAAATATTTGTGCTATATTTATACAAATGACACCAATTTTGAGTGTGTCTCTAAGATTGATGACTGTCATGAACATTTTTAAATATCATGGAAGAGAGTAGTATAATGAGCATCTGTATCCCCATCCTCTAGTTTTACCCATTTTCATAAATAATGACAATCTGATTGTTGATTCACTACTATTTACTGAAGTCCATGCTTTAATCAGATTTCCTTAGCTTTTCCCTAATGCTCTTACTTTTTCTGTTCTAGGATTCCCTCCAGGATATTACTACATCACACATAATCAACCTGCCTCCTCAGGCTCCTCTTGGCTCATTTATTAAATTATTGGGTCCAGGAGGCCAGGTATATTATCACCAGCACCAATGGCTTCTGGAATAGGACCTCAAGAAATGTTGACTGAATTGACCCAGTTTCTATTTTAAAATGCCAAGGCTTTGATTGAATCATCTACTACCTGCTTCTGAGTGGCATGAGCTGCCCATATATATATTCCTCCAATGCCTCCAGTGAGATTTAACTTTGTCCTGATGTTTTATGCAGGGCTTTATTTATTGCAACTAGCAGATCAATAATGTGTGATTAAATTCGTAGGTCAGGCCTCTGCTTGGTCTTCTTGACTGAGATACTACCTGTATCTCTAGCTCTGAAATAACAGAAGAGTTGCATGAGAACTACTTTGCTCCTGTTGGCTGTGTCACCTTGGGCTGATTACATAAACTTTCTGAGCCTCTCTCACAGGGTTTTGTAATAATTACTGAGATCAGGTATAGAAATCCCTGTCATAGATAATATTGAATGTTAACAGCAGCCCGGGAGTCTTTGTATGTTATGTATACAGCATATTCAATCTTCACAATGGGTTTGTACAGTAACCACCCTTATCCTCATTTTACACTTTGGGAAACTGAGGCACAGAAAAGCTAAGTAGCACATCTAATACTACACAAAGGATGAGCAGCAGAGCTAGGATATGGACTCAGGACTGTCAACTCACATTCTATGTGAATGCTTTTTCACCACTAAATCCTTTGTGAGACAGGAACTCCAAAACTAAAGCATTCTCTCCCTTTAGGTGGCCAGTAGAGGGAATCTACATAAGAGATTGCCTGACAGCATGGCTGTCTCCCATTTATATGCAAATCTTCAAAAATAAAACAATTCACCAAATAGTGGATGTCTAACACGTTCAAGAATGAACAAGATTCTTGCGCAGTCAGTTCAAATACTGACATGAATACAGGATGAATATCCCTTATCTGAAATGCTTGGGACCAAAAGTGTTTCAGATGTCAGATTTTGGAATATTTGCATATACATAATGAGACATTTGAGGAATGGGACCCTAAACATGACATTCATTATGTTTCATATACACCTTACATATATAACCCAGTAATTTTATAATATATATATTATATACACATTTTTTGAGACAGTCTCACTCTGTGTATGTATAATATATATAATATATGTATATATTATACATATAATACAGTCTCACTCTGTGTATATATATTATATATAACATGTATATATTATATATATAAATATATTTTATATATATATATATATGTGAGGGGAGAGAGAGTCTCTGTCGTCCAGGCTGGAGTGCAATGGTGCAATCTTGGCTCACTGCAACTTCTACCTCCCAGGTTCAAGTGATTCTCTTGACTCAGCCTCCCAAGTAGCTGGGATTATAGGTGCCCATCACCACACCTGGCTAATTTTTGTATTTTTTTGTAGAGACAGGGCTTCACCATGTTGGCCAGGCTGGTCTCGAACTCCTGACCTCAAGTGATCCACTGGCCTCAGCCTCTCAGTGCTGGGATTATGGACATGTGCCACCGTGCCCAGCCTATATAATATTTTTAATATTATAAAATATTATTTTATGTATTCATCACATGAGGTCAGGTGTGCTATTTTTCACTTGTGGCATCATGTTGGTGCTCAGAAAGTTTGGGATCTTAGATTTTCAAATTATGGATGCCCAACCTATACTGAGTTCCTTGTTTCTTATCTCTTTCAACACATCTTTCTCCAAAGTGGAACTCTAATTTCTACATGAATTTCCAAGTTTTACTACTTAAACCTGCGTGACACTAGCACTGGCCTTACAGTCTATTAAGGAGGATGCCTATGGCCTGAATCACACAAACTCACCCTCTTTAGCAATGTCATGCCCTGTACCTATGGAAGCCCCACATGACATTTTTATGAGTCCTAAAAATGAATGATTGGCCCCGGGTTATAAAATAATTGAAGATTCAGGTTCCTCTGAAAAACCTATGCAAACACAGTGCAAATTCTAGCACTGTTAACTAAATTCTGGCAACTGTTTATGACTCCAACAGCAGGATGTGTTATTGACAAAAACTGTACTGGATCTCTCAAAGAGAGTTCAGTGGTATCTAAATGACCATGAGCTATAGAAGAAATGCCTGTAGCCGCTAAATTCTTGGAGAATGCTCTTACACTAGTTAGGAGTTGTAGGCGATTACTGGTTTTGTTTTCACTTTAACCAAATCTGTGACTTTGTTGTAGCTCCATGGTCCTCAACTTAGGACATTTCTGGTTGTCACAATGGGGAGGGATGTTGCTGACATCAAGTGGGTAGAGGCCAGAGATGCTGCTAAACAGTAAACAATGCCCAGAACAGCCTGGCCTCAAAGACTTCCAGCTCCAAATGTCAATTATGCTGAGCTAGAGAAACCCCAGTGTCATCCTACACTCTGTCCCTCAAATCCGTCATTGAATAGTGAGGATGCATAATAAAGTGAAACTTCAAAATTTTAAATGTTTTGCCCATATGCACACTATATGCAAACATAGAGACCTTCAGAACTTTTTTTAGTCACTCGGCGTGGAGGTCACACTAGCCCTCCTGTTCCGATGCTTCTCTTCTCCCAGATATTCTGTTTTCAAAATGTCCTACATCAGCATTAGGTCTCTTCTCAGCCCACAGCTACTCAGCGCCTAAAGCACAAGAACCCAGTTTAACACTGTGCATAAACGCTCATTTTTAGGCTTTTCACAGTCATACAACTGAGGGAGAGAGGACAGAAAGCCACTTCCTACAGTCAGGTTTGTGACACTTTGTAATGTTCCAAGACCAGACTAAGGCCTTCTCCTGATGTCCCCTCAACCCACCCTGTCTGATCACTACCCCATCACAAAGTGAAATGCTTAACAAAATTGAAAGAATAATATCATCACCCCAAGTAATAATTGCAAAATTTAAAACTAGGAAATGGAAAGTAGTGGGTTTTACTGAACTTCACTTAAAGCCCCTCAAACTGAAGAAGACATTATATTCACCATTAGCATAGAGTAAAACAATTATTTTCAAATGTCATAGAAACAATATGTGTAAGTCCTCTTCTCCACCTCTTGTCTTTACATTGGTGATTTACCGGTGTCTTTCCTTCCTTCTTTTTCTTCAGCTTGCTTCCAATCCATTCATCCTTTTCACAGACATTCCTTGGGGGCATCTTGCTGTCTTCTGCAGAGAATATGAAGAAAACGTAGGAACATTCCCAACTTGTGGGAATCCAGAACATTCCACAGCCATCTTTTCTTGTGTTGAGGGGGAAGGTAGGTTCCCTGCTCATAGGGTGAGGCCCAACCTGAGAAATCCGGGCGCAGACTTTCTGATTAGGAATATCTGAACACCACCCCTCAGACGGCTCACCCTCAAGCCCCCTACTCCTGTCACCTACTCAGTGCTTCTTAAGCAAGCTGTTTCTTGCTACCCGGTCCAGCTGATCTATTTGTTTTGATTAAATCAAGAAGAACTGTCCCATGCTGCCCCTGGAGTTTCAGCTCTCTGCATGTGTATGTTAAAAGTTTGAGTGGACCAAGCCAGTGAGGGAGCCCAGGAACTCAATTTGAGCAGCACTTTGAAAGTCTGTGAATCTGCTTGACAACTTCCCCGCCCCGCCGCCCCGGTCTGCCTCTGTGAACGCCTGTGCACCAACGAAATAGCTACCTCGATTTGCTGTGGTCAGCATCAGGAAAACAGCAAGACCCAGCTATGAGTTTGTGTCTTCGTTCTCCTTTAAATTTCAGCAATATTTCTGAGAGAGAAAGAGCGAGAAATACTGTTTAGCTCAAAAATTTGCTCTAAATGATACAAGGAAAAGGCTGCCGCTCCGTTTGCACCCTGAGATGCACACTGCAGGGATTCCGGGGCTCCGCTAACAAAAGCACAAAGCGTGAAGGGCTTGGCGATGGCTGTTTTTTGTCCCTCGGATGGAGAGATGAGATCACAATTTTCAAGAAGAGATGGAACCGCCGCTGCCAGGCCGTTGAGGCTGCCACTTCCCCTCCCTGCACGGGTCCCGCATTACATCACTGGTGAGCTCTGGCTTGGGGGTGGGTGGGTGACAAGGAGACTTCGCAAGAGACCCAGCCCCAGACCAGGGAGGATAAACAGAACCACACCGGTGGGGAGGTGGTGTCGAGGAAGAGAAAGAAGGAAAATTCAGGACCCGGTTTCCTGCCACCACCTTGCGTGGGGGGTGGGGAGTTGCTGGGGTGAAAAGAAACATCTTTATAATGCAGCCGCACCCCAAATCTCCTTCCCTCGCGCCACCGGGCCGCCCTCAACTCCCAATTCCAAGTCCAACTAAAGCCGTTATCCAAAGCTGCCGGGAAAGCTGCGTTGAGGGTGCTGAGGGGGACTGCTGAGGCGCCCAGGGACGGGGAAGGACCGCGGTGCACGCGCCGGGGGCGGGGAGGCAGGAGGGAGAGGCGGTCGCCGCTGCGCCCCCGCCTGGCCCAGCCAGCGGTGCCTCCCCCGCCAGGCGACAGCAGTCAGAGTGGGGGAGGCAGAAGCGCCTCCTCCCCGCCCGCAGCCCCGGCGGCGGCGCAGGGGGAGGAAGGCACCTCACCTTGCCCCCAATGAGGGGCTGATCATGCCATGGCAGCGCCGGCGAGCGACAGCGGCGGCAGCCAGCAGAGCCCGAGCGGCAGCCCCAGGAGCCGGGAGGGAACTGGGGTCGCTGTGGAGGGAGCCCCCGACTGCGGGGACGCAGGAGCCCGGGACGCGGCGGAGACGGTCCCTGGTCTCCCTCCGCTTGAGGACTACGAGTGCAAAATCTGCTACAACTACTTCGACGCGGACCGGCGTGCGCCCAAGCTGCTGGCGTGCCTGCACACCTTCTGCCAGGAGTGCCTGAGCCAGCTGCAGCTCCGCGCAGCCGCCGCCGCCACCGCCGCCGCCACTGCCGCGCCTGAGCGCCCACCGCGCCCGCCGCCCTGGCTCGGCCCGCCCGGCGCCATCGCATGCCCTGTGTGCCGCCACCGCACGCCGCTGCCCGACAGCCGCGTGCACGGCCTGCCCAACAACACCAAGCTCGCCGAGGCCTTCCCGCTGGCTCTGCGCGCAGCACAAGACCCGCTGCCCCAGGACCGCCTCCCGCCGCTGCCCGCACGCCTGCCCGCGCCCGCCGCCACCCCGCCGCCCACCCCGGCCCCGCCACCGCCCGCCTCTCCCGCCGCTCCGCAGCCGCCGCCGCAAGCCGAGGACGAGGCCCCCGGGTCTCGCGCCCGCCCGGGCCTGCGCGCCCCGGGTGCCTACGACAGCTGCCAGAACTGCAAGCGCGCGGCGCTCACCGCTGGCTGCGTGTGCGTGGTCTTCTCCTTCCTCTCCATGGTGGTGCTGCTCTTCACCGGCCTCATCTTCGTCAACCACTACGGCGGCGGGGGATCCCCCGGAGGCGGGGCGCCCCCTGGCGAGGCACCGGCCACCGGGTCGCCCTCACCCTCGCCCGTGGGGCCCATCTGCCTGTCGGTGGCCAGTATCCTGGCGCTCTTCTCGGTCGTTGTCACCTGGGTTATCTGCTGGCTCAAGTATCGGCCCGAGGGTGCGGCCGCGGGCTCGGCGGGGGGTAGCGGCGGCGGCGGTGGCAGCGGCGGCGGCCCGCGGGCACGGGCGGCGGCGGGCGGCGCGCCGAGGAGCGACACGTAGCGGGGCCGCGCCGCCGACCTGGCGCCTGCACCTCCAGCCCCGCGCTACCGAAGAGGGGGCCTCTGGCTCGTTGCGCTCGAGCTTCTGCGCCCTCTCCCTGTGGCCCCCCGGGCTCTCCCGGACTCAACATCTCCTTCCAACTCCGCCACTGCGGGGCCTCGGTTTTCTGTCCCTCGGGCTTCTGTTACCCCTCGTCCTTCGAGGGATACCAGAGACGGGAAACTGACCAGGTGGGGATGCTATTGGGGGGGGTCCCTTTTGCCCTGACTGTGCAAAACTGACCTCTGCGTTATGCTCCACCTTCGTCCTCGCCAGTGTGCGGCCATCCCTCCCCAGAGCACAAAGATCTGCGAAGAGGATGCAAGGGGAGGAGGAGCCCCGCCGCCCCGCCCGAAAGCGGGTTTTCTGGCTGCCAGGACTTGAGAGTTTCTTTAAAGGTGCAGCTGCGCGCGCGCAAGTGGATCTGTGGCGGCTGTGAATGGACTTGAATTGCCGGGAGGAAGAATGAAAGGGATGTAAACACGAGAGGGAAAGGGTACCCCGCTTCCTAGCGGTCCTGGAAAGGGAGACATCCTGAGAGATGAGAGTGACTGACACTCCCCGCCGGCACAGTGCGGGCATAACGCGAGTTGATGGAAGAACCAACGGGCCTCAGCTGGGCGCGTTGGGGGCAGGTGCACGGCGCGCGTGCGCGCTCGGGGCCGACTCCGCACAGCAGAGGCGGTGGCGCGCCCAGGGCGGTGAGCCCTCCTTGCCCACGACCGGGTGTTGTCTGGAGCAGAGCCCAGAAGTCTCATCTCCTGGAAGCTTGTGGTTGTTTTATTCACAGTGTTACTGCCAGGAAGTCATTTAATCTTCTGTAACTGGACTCAGGGAGCTTAAAGAGCCTGTTCTCCCTTCTCTCAAAAGTGACTTACTGTTGCCCCCACCTGGAAGATATTGAAAGCTATTCACGCCGAATATAAACTAGATTTTCTCCTTTCCCTCTCCATTTTTTCTCAATTTCATTTAAGATATAATTTACTTTTGAATATATAAATCTGGAAACTTTTGTGCATTAAGATTTCCAGAAAAGTTGTTTGATAAGCAGTGACATTAGTTCCATACCTCGAGTCCAAATACATTTCGAAATTAGGAGCAGAAAATAAAGGCCTGTTGGTAATTTATTCAATATTTTATACTGTGAAATAACTAATGACTTTTAATTATCTGATAAAATATAAAATAGTGCCCAAAGATGAAATCAACTAACTGAAGGTCTTTCTGCCTTTGATTACAAACATATATATCATATACACATATCAGAAAGTATAATATGATTTTGAATTTAGCTGTTTGATATTGGAATTACTGAAATGTTCACATACAGTCACATGAATTGAAAAAGAATACATATATATCTCATTTTGTAACTACAAAGATGAATTACCAGTGTATGTTGCAAGTGGGTTAGATGCCTTTTTTTTAAAGAAGGAAAACTGTTCCAAATGTATTTTATATGGAAACATTCTTTATTCCATCTTTCGAAATTTGGAATAAGAAAAAGTTTTCATGCTTAAAAATCACAGAAGCTACTGAAGGTATGCTATTATTCCTCGAGTATTTATGCAAGCTGTCTGCATGATATCCTGGCACTATTCTATTAATTGAACTTGAATTGAGCATTTGTATCTATCATAGGGGTGAAGTAATTTATTGGCCATTGATAAGTGGGTTGGCTGCCATATAGAAACTACAGTATGAAGTGTTTTATGTCTACATTGTCTTAATAATAAAAAGAGGTATTTATAGAAAAATCTATGACATTAATTTCATGGTAAAAGTGCTCCATTACTTGTGTGGCACTTCTCTTCCCTAAATATATGTCCCCATCTAAATCCAAATTTCACATTTTTAAATGTGGCTGAGCGAGAAATAACTCACACGTGGAAATGCACCTTGCTAAAATGGGTGTTTTGTGGGATTATTTCTAGGATTTAATAGCCCAGTGAGATCTGTTGTATTCCAAAAGAGAAGTAACTTACATATTTACTACCACAACACCTACTAAAATTGAACTCTGTTATTAGATTTTGTTCTGCTTTCTACAAAATGTTTTTAGGTTTCTATTGCTAAAAACCGCTTTTCAGAGATTAGTTTTAATTTATTTATACTCCCATGTCTTGTGTTTTACTTCTATATCCATTTTTACCTTTTATTCATTCTTCATTTACCCCCATTGCTAAAATTCTGTTTCCACTAAGAACTGTTAAGTTGCAGAAGTATAGCTACACATGTATATATGTATGTATTAGGTATATGTATAAAGATGTATTACCTATAAAATATATGCATACTAGTAACAACTTGGCTTTGTGGATGTAACCATGTGCACATGTGTACACACACATGAGTTTTTTATGTGTGTTATACTGGCAACCTGGAAGTCTGTTTAAAGTTACTTTGGGCACCAGCTTTCTTCTTAGAGTTTATTTGTGTTCCAGAAAAATACACCAATAATGTAACCTAAAAGATTCCTCATAACTGGGAAATACATTCTTGAATCACCTCAATGACAACAAAAGCCACATTTTGTTTCTCTTATGGATTGCATGTGTAAATTTCATCTAATTAAAATTTGACTCAGAATACTTTTAAATCAGAGAGACACACTTAGTGGCTCAGTATCTAAACATGGTGAGATATTTTCTGTGGCTTACCATGCTTTATTGCTAATTTCTGATTTTGTTACCGGGAATTGAGTTGCAGGATGTTGTCATGGAAAATATCTGTGTGGTTTCTCATGGTTATCTGGCATTCAGGTGTCTCTCTCACCTCTCTTCATTCAGCAGATTTGATTTAATAATTTCTATTCACGTGGAAGGACCTGCACACCAGCACCTTAGACAAAGTAGGAGTTTAAGAAGTAATTGTTGAAATAACAAGTGAGTTGTCTAGAGGACTCCTGGTGAAAATGAAGTGTTTTTCTCCCTTCCCATGGTTACTTTCATCATCTTGGAAAAGCTTGATTCAATTCTGGACAACTCTTCACCTTACAAGCGAGAACTACCAGTAGAGTCACTACAAAAAACCCAGCCTGGCCTGGTCTTCGTACTTGGTCGGAAACTCCTGGTCCCCATGCCTTGTTCTGCCTAGGTTCTGGGACTACAGGTTAGAGTTATCGATGAAAGAAACTTATGATGCAGGTGATGAACTAAACATTCAGCCTCTGAATACAATAGGATGTAGTGAAGAACATGCACGTCTAGAAAGCACATCGGGTTTGGGGTCAATATCTGCAACCAGGAGGTGTAAGCCTGAATATTGGTTCTCTCTTTAGTCACAAAGGCCATTAAAAGTCATTTATCTCTTTTGAGTCTCAGGCTCCACATCTATAAAATTAGTGGTGGGGAGTATCATCCCCACCTACCTCATGGAATTGATGTGGAGATTTGTACACATAAGAGGGTAAATACACGAAAATTCTTTGGAAACTAAAGCCCTATATGGACCTTGCTTTCATTTAGGTCTCCAAGGGTCTAATATTACCTCCCAGAGAGGTCTGCCCTGACCACTCTAATCTCAGTGGATATCTATCCCAGTTTTTACCTTCTTAATAAGCTTTACTTTATTTAATAAGTGTTAGGCTATTTGCAGTAGTCTTACTTATCAGTTGCATTTTTTCTGCAATCCCTGCAACCAGAATGTAAAGACATGAACAGGAACTTTGTCTATCTGGTCATCCATTTGATCCACAAAGCCTTAACCAGTTCTGGGCACATAGTAAGTGACTGATAAATGTTCTGTTGGGTCTGCTGAAGGGACACTCTGGAATGAATGTTAGGCGACTTGGCTTCCGAGACTCACACTAACCTGGGAAGCTGAGGTAAACAGTTTCCTTCTTTACTTCATAAGAATTTTTGAAAGGTGAAAAAATATTATGGCAAGCACCTTGCCATAATATTTTGAGAAAAATTAGCACTGTAACAGTGGAACTCTCACTGTTTATATTCAATGACAGGAACCACTAGAGAGACTAAAGGATATTTGGCCTCTATTTTTAATCAGTTCTGCACTGTGTGACATTTTAAGGTATCTTTGTGAACCTGTCTACATTGTCGCCTCCAAGGCTAGCAGCACCTGTGTAACTGGGAATAAAGCACATTGCAGTGGAATTTCCAACATGAGAACAAGATCTATTAACTTTCTTACTATTTGTTACTCCCTGTTTTATTAAGTATTCAGTCTTTGCCATTTGAATAAATCACTTCATACAGCTGATAATTTTATAATCTTGATAACTAAGCAATCCCTCAGTTATTCTGTGATTCAACTCACACCCTCTTTAATCATTGAATTTCTGTTAGCTAATATTTGTATTTCACATTTCTGCTATTTTACAAAGATGATGAAATTCACATTATGGACAATGAACTGCATGCTTGCTCACTATGCGTTACACTTCTTCCTTCGAAATCATGTTTTTTAAAATTGTATTTGTTACAGTGCAAGTTTGTTTGAGGAGTAGCTAATATTTACTGTAGCAACTGTTTTTGAAATGAGTGTTAGAAATGACTGCAGCCAGATCTTAGTTTGAAGTTATGTAAATGAAGAAAGTGTAACAGATTGCGTTTATCCTCTGCTAGATATCTCTTTTGATTTTCCACGTAAGATAAGCTTTGTAATATACATCAACATTGTTTTCCTTCATTCAGGTTTGATTCTAAGCCTTCCGTACTCTTATGCAGACTAAAATATGCCAAAGAAAAGCAAATTCGTTTCTGTGATGAATTCACAATAACTTCTGATTATAAAATACACTTGGAGAAGTAAGAATGTTCAATGTTTAATTTCCAAGAATATTCCTAGGAGCTGAGGAAGAATGTGCACACTTCCTTTTTCTTCTTTTTTAAAAAAGTTGTCTTTGCATGTAAAATTGGATTATCTTTGGTTTAGAAATACCACATCTCCATGGGGTTGAGTGGGGGATATTGAAGTGGGAAGAGAGTGGAGAAAATATGCAGAAAGTTCTTTTAGCCTCTAATCTTACAAAACATACCACAAAATAAGCAGAATAGAGCAAGTTTAATCACTGAAAGAATAGAACACTTTTATTTCAACAGCTATCATTTCAAGAACTGTGGTAATATATGGTCCACTCAACTATCTCACAGCACATAAACAAGTATTCTTCATCATATGTAAATAACTCATTTGTGTCACTACTGTGTGGCTTTAAAAATATTTTGTAATCAAATTTGAGAGGTAGAGAGCAAGTTCTATCTGAAGCAAAGTTTAGGCAAGAATTAACTTCAAATGATAATTAGAAAGTAATTGCTTGGGAAAAAATCAGAGGGCCAAGCTCTGCCAGGCAAATAATTTGTCCCTAGAAGCTCATTTCCTATTAAATTAATGCATAGCAATTTATCCACTGATGTGAGTCTTATGGAGGTTCTCAACACTAGTCACACATTAGAATATCTGGAGAGCTTTAAAAAAGATTACAGTAGCACCCCTCCTGCTCCCAGAGACATATATTTAATTGGTCAGGGCAGTGGAGAAGGAGATGCATTGGTATTTTTTTTAAGGGCACCCCAAGTGAGACTATTGTGCAGCCAGACTTGAGAGCCATTAGATTTAATGTATTTATTGAAAGGCAACTGTCTTCCTAATCTCACTTTAATGAACTAAACTCCACTAAGTGCTCTGTCTTAGAAACCGATTGGGAGATCCTGAGGCATTGCTTGGGATTTTGGATTTTCGAAGTGGGCTTGGATCACCAAAGGAGGGTTATTTAATCGTTGCTTCTCTCTCTCTCTCTCTCTCTCTCTCTCTCTCTCTCTCACACACACACACACACACACACACACACACACTCATACTCACTCCGGGTACCTTTGGGCTCCCAGGAACGTTAAGTAAATAATTGCATCCGCTGTTGGCTGCGGGGTCTTTTCTTGCGTGTGTGTGGGGGGGCGGGGGGGGGCTGTTACTCCTTCCCCCTGCAGGAGGCTTTTCTGTGGGCTTTCCTATCCCCCACAAAATAGGTGAGTGCTTTCCAAGTCCCCTGAGTCATCAAAATTCAGTGACAACGAGGGTATTTGAGGACGGATTATGCGGATAATCAGGGAAGTCTTGAGGTTAAATTAACAAAACATAGCCAGTGATAGATGTGGGTGTCATCGCCAGTGACAGCTGAAAGGGGAATTTCAGCTTGTCTGCTGGTCGCTGACAGGTGCCGACTACAGAGCTGATCTAGCGCAGAGTCGTGTTTTAAAATACTTGCCAGGAGAGCTGTTAAAAAGACCCTTTTTTAAACAGCAGTCATTCAGCGTGCAAATTAATTCCACGCTCTTGGGTACAGGTACACTTGGGTATGCAGTTGGTGGGAGACGTGGGATTACCTCCATTTCCTTTTTCCGGGGCGGGTGGCGGGTGGGACAAACTGGACTTTACTTGAGCTAATAAATAGGTTTTTCCAAATCTCTCCACTGTCACTACAGCGGCCACCTGCCCCTGTTCCATCACCAAGCCTGGTTAACGCCCTCCTGAGGGATTACCTCCCTGTCTTTCCCTGAGGGTTCGCACGCCGGCGGTGGCTTCCTGCTGAGCCCAAGGACTCTCAAGGGAAGCAGAGGGCACCCGGGCCGTGGACGGGGTCCCTGCTTACTCTGTGACTGTGGCCGGGGCAGCCCCAGCGACTGGGACCTGGGATACCAGGGGAGGCTCTCAGTGGGGAGGAATAGAATCCCTTACCCTGGAGCTTGTGGGGTTTTCTTCCCCTACGTGCAGCCTCTCGGGCTGGAAAGGACCCTAGGCCTCCCGGGGCGACAGGTGCTGTGACCCTCTCCTCCGGGCCAACGACACTTTAGGTTGTCCCCTTCGCCCCAATTCCTAGCCCCGTTACAGGTGAATTTGAGATCGAAAATGCAGGGGAGGGCTCCGGGACAAATCGAAGGCACAAGGACGCTGTTATGAGCCCACGTGTCGGGCGTGGAGGGAACCAGTGGCCACAGGACTTGTCGACCCAGTCACTCGCCATCCCGGCTCAGTTTGGTTGGCCTTTGTGCGGAACCTGGTATTCAGCCTTACCTGTGACGTCCCCGATTTCTGGAGCTGGGAGGTGGGTTATTTACAACCGGATGAAGTCTTTCATATTCCTGGATGCCCACGGGCCGCTCCCAGAGCCCACCCGAAAGTTCCGCGTTTGCGTCTATTCGTAAAAACAGCAGAGGTGCCCAAAAAAAGTAAATTAAGAAAAAAGCCGACGCCGGGTACAGTGCCTGAGGCTGCCTGCGCCCTGAGGAAGGTCGCCTTAGTTTAGTCCCGGGTTTCTCCAGTGTTTTTGGAGCCCAGCAGGGGTTCGAGAACCTCAGCCCCTAACGGCTTCCGAAAACCTGCTCCTCGCCTAAAGTCCCTCATTTCCCTCGGGGCTTCCAGAGGTGCAAAGAGCATCTTGGCAAACCCTCTCATTGTCCGAGGGCGGGGCAGTGTGACCTGGACAGGAAGGTGGGAGAGGGACTTGGAAACACCTTCGGAGTCTTGAGGTGCGTTTGTAAATTTCTCCCCAGGGGCCGAGCCTGTATCCGCGTGCCCTAGGTCCCAAGACCCGGTCTCTGCAGCGACACAGTCCTTATCCCAGACCTTCTACGACGTCTCCACAATCAGACGGTCGGGAAGAAGGCGAGGTTCGCTGCGGGGCTTGGAATATGAAGGACTGAGAACGCCCGCAAAGACGTTGCGTTCGAAATGCAGAGCGGATTGGCTGTAACGGGAAGGTGAGAAGGTTGGAATTCTTACTGTATATCTTCATCTGCCGCCTGCTATTGCCCCGACCGAATTAGAGGAGGAAAGTTGAGGCTGAAGTGTCTCAAGTTCTTTTCTGCATGGAAATATGGCTAATAAAATTTCCCCGGGATTGGGGAAAAAAAGGTTGTTTAAAATAAAAAACACTTTAGGCAGGGAGCAGTGGCTTACACCACACCTGTAATCCCAAAACTTTGGGAGGTCGAGGCCCGAGGATCGCTTGAGGCCAGGAGTTCCAGACTAGCCTAGGCAGCACGGTGAGATCCCACCGTCTCTAATAAAAAAGTCAAAAATTAGCCGGGCATGGTGGTACACGTCTGTAGTCCCAGCTACCTAGAAGGCTGAAACAGGAGGATGGCTTGAGCCCAGGAGTTTGAGGCTGCAGTGAGCAAGACCCTGTCTCAATCAATCAATCCAAATAAGCAAGCACTTTAAAGTGGGATTATTGGGTGTATTTTAAAAGGGAAATGAGGTGAAGTAAATTTCTAAACTATTTTCAATTGAGATAAGTTAGTTTGGTGACTCCTGAAGGCACCTTTAAGGTAACTTTTGTTGACATTTACTTACTGCCAAAACAAGGCAAACAACGAAAGATTAGTATTTATGTAGCTTCTAGACCTCGTGCCTTCTGGGGCTGATCAAAGTAGTAGAAAACTAGGACTTTCTAATAGACCAGGACTGGCAATGTAACCTTCTCCCGATTTCAACCCTAACACAGCAGCTTTCTAGCTGTGTGACCTTGGGCAAGTTAATTAACCTCTCTGTACCTCTTTTTTCCTCTTTTTGACTAGATATAACCTAATTGATTTGAGCAGTAAATAGATGAATCTTTGTAATATAGTGAGAACAGTGCCATTATATACTAAGCACTCAATTGACATATACTATTATGATTCAGGATGATCAAGTACTGAATTCACCACCTGTGGATTTCCTTAGCTCTCCTGAGATAGCTTATTCAGCTTATTTGGATGGAGACCCCATGCAACAGGGACCAAGAAACAGCAGGCCCTCTCAGCTCTCATGTTGCCCACGCCAAGACACCCAACCTGTCCTCTGAGAAATCTCATGGAGAGTGTCAACTGATTCTCAGAACAGAGACTGCAACAGGTGAAAGGTGAGATGGCTCAGCAGTTTGTAGTGCTAAGCAGGGCATAGTGGCATCCTCTTCCCTGATGTCCCCATCCGGGCACTTGGCTGACTTCTACTTTAAAAGGGTTTATTCCAAGTATTTGTTTTATTTATATTCACCTTTTCTCCTATCTTTCTGCACTTTTGAAAGACTTGAGCAGGCAAAGTCCAAATTCTATTTATTTTAAAATCTTGGTAGCAAACCAAATAGGATTTTTCTCAAATCATTACTAAGTAAGGGTATATGTAATTTATCTAGCTCATGATAGGATCATAACTATTGCATTTTCCTTTCGAATATCTTTTCCCTACATCAACCACCTATATTCTGCTGCTCTCAAGTATACAAGAATCTCCCCTATTACGGAAGAGGGAACTGGGGATGCAGATCAATCCTCCCAGTGCAAATGTGTCCTTCAAATTGGAAATGGGTCATTCATTGTTGCCTAGCGTAATACCATCTTGATTGCATGCAGAACATCAGTTAGGGTTCATTTTATCAGAAATACCTTAGTAGTAATATTCTGAATTTTTGTTTTTTTTGAGACAGAGTTTCCCTCTTGTTACCCAGGCTAGAGTGCAATGGCATGATCTCGGCTTACCACAACTTCCGCCTCCTGGGTTCAGGCAATTCTCCTGCTTCAGCCTCCCATGTAGCTGGGATTACAGGCACGCACCATCATGCCCAGCTAATTTTTTGTATTTTTAGTAGAGACGGAGTTTCACCATGTTGACCAGGACGGTCTTGATCTCTTGACCTTGTGATCCACCTGCCTTGGCCTCCCAAAGTGCTGGGATTACAGGTGTGAGCCACCACACCTGGCCCATATTCTGATGTTTGATGCCTCCCTCTATTTCTCTGTCTTCCTCCAGCATTCTTTTCAGTTTGGAGCAAGGCTCTGTTTTCCAGGAGCTTTTCCTTTTTTCTGTCTCTAAGATCATCCATTCCTTGGACTTTCCCGCTTTTTGAGCTTGGAAATCTTCTGATTTTTTTCTACTACTCTGCTTTTGAATGTCCTCTCCTGCCCTCCTGAGTCATCCTCCCCCAGTGAAACTCACACAGTTTGCTCTTCCGAAAGTCAAACTGCTTCACCAAGCAGAAGAGTGGAGCAAAGGTACCTGGTCTTTCTGAGAACCTTTTCGGAGTGTTTTGAAGATATAAAGATTAAGTTTGGAGATGCCATGAAGATTCCTTTTCAACATGGGCCTTCTCACCCCTCCAAGGGCTCAGGTTTCTGTTTACTTCTCTGCTGAGCAGCTCTAAGTTATGCATTGGTAGGTTTTACTTTATTAGTGGTTCTTGTGGTAAGTAAGAACTGCTCTCTTTGACTGTGAAGCACTTTTTGTGGTAAGTAAAAACTACTCTGTTTGACTGTGAAGCACTATAGAAAAATCTATAGTGTAATGTCAGGTGGGCATAATGACTCATTCTTATAACCACAGTGGCTTTGGGAGTCCAAGGTGGGAGAACAGCTTGAAACCAAGAGTTTAAGAACACCTCAAGAAAGAAAAAGAGAGAGGGAGAGAGGGAAGGAGAGAGAGAGAGAGAAGTAGAAGAACAAGAAGAACAAGAAAAGGAAGGAAGGAAAAAGAAAAAGAAAGAGAGAGAAAGGAAGGAAGAAGGAATGATAGGGAAGGGAAGGGGAGAGGGAGGGAGGGGAGGGGAGGGGAGGGGAGGGGAGGGAAGCGCAAGGAAAGTCAAGTCCCATGGTCTCTTTTCAAGCCTCTACTGCTGGGCCACATGCTGTTGCCTTCATTTCATCTGTTGCATTCCTTGATTTCAAACTTCTAAGTCTTTCAAGGATATATTCAAAGACTTTTTACTAATAACTTATGGAGCCCTGTGAAAAAATTTCCTCCCAAATTCCTCCTGCTGGTTTATTTTCCCTTTATTTCATAAAACTACCAGCCAAGGAATGATGATTGGTTCTTTAGGGTTTTGGGCTCCTCTGGATTTTCCGGAAAGAGGAGTCTTCCACTCCCCTTCCACTGCCAAAGTGGTATAGCGGCTCCTCAGAATCACTCAGAAGGAACACACAGACTTCCCCCACCTTTTGGAGCCGGGCATTCCCAGCTTTCCCAACATCTCCCCTGACTTGGAGGGAGTTTCCTCTTGTATGGAAAATGAGAGTGACATGTCCCGTAGTGTGGGGGATTTGGACACCAAGAAGGTGAGCTGTCATTTTCTATCAAATAAAAATGCAATTTTCAGTCAATGGTGGCTAGATGAAGAGGCCCATGTCCATCCTGGATTTGGGAGCTGCAATTACTGGAAGGGAGGAGTCCCATAACTCTGGCATGTCAATGGTGACATCTACCTTCCTTCTGGAGGTGGTGAGAGGGGCAGAGCTCAAGGGAGCCTCAACCTGTCCACTGGAAGGTTCAGTCCTCCTGTCACCCCTCCCATAGCCATTTTGAAATATCCTCCTAAAGAAGACAATGGGAAACACCTAGAGAGATGCTGGGCCCCAAGAGGAGGCAAGTGCTCCCTCTTTTGGAGGGAGGCATGTCTGCAGGTTTGACTGCCCAGACCCTGCCGGGAGTTTTCCAGAACCTTAGACTGCAGCGCAGTGGGCATTCACTAAAGTGCTGTGGACTACATGGTCTCATCACTTTCTTTCTTTGTCCTTGCCCTTCCTTCAGCCAACACCCCTTCCTCCCCTCTCCTCTCTGCAAGAAGCTACAGCTCAGTAGAGCCGCCTAGACCTCTCCTGCTGAAATGTCAACTGCACCCCAGCCTTTCAGACCCGTCCACTCACTACCCATCCCTTGGTCCTTCAAGCTTCTCCAGAGCTGAGCCTCAGTTTTAAAACCAATCTCCCGGCAGGGTGCGTTTATATATTATTTTCTGCTATTTTCTGGACCATCAGCTCTGCCAGGGCAAGGACTTTGGTCTGCTTCATTGCTGTGGCGCCAGCACTCGAACGGCACATAGTAGAAGCTCAATAAGCACGTGTGTAATAAATGAAAGGCCACGTGTGTCAGAGTGCGATGACTCCAGTCGTAGCCGGAAGACTGGCCCGGCCGATGATTCAGTGGGAAAAGAGGGAGACCATAAAATGATCTGGTGACCCGAAAGGTTCGCAGGCGCCTCAGGTCCAGGAGACGACCCATGAGGAAAGGAGCCTGAGAACTTAATGAGAACTTTCAGAGGGAGAATGAGTGATTGAATGTGAGAATGCCGGACACCGGAGTGTGCCCAGCTCCGGCACGAAGGAAACGGTTGGGAAGAGGGCAGTGTTCCAGGCGCTGCTAAACCCTGGCGGGTGGTGCTCGCAGGCCACTGCCACAGGCACTCTGGTCTCCGCTAATGCGGCCCAAGCAGCGCAACAGGGCAGGTTTCTTCGCAGACCACCAGGTGCCCAAGGCTGCGTGCCGGGTCTCGGCAGCTCCCGGCAGGGCGCTCGAAGAAAGGCTCAGTGTGCGGTGCGACTTTCTGCTTCCCAGCGAGGGCGCCGGAGGACTCGAGGGTGGGCAGACCAGTTCTTTAGGGTGGGGACAGGCTGAGGGCTAGACCTCCGACGCCAAGGTTGATGCAGCTTTTATAATTTTTCTTTATCCAGCGGAATCTCTTGAAGGGGCAATGGTTCAGGCTCAAAGCGCAGAAAGGACCTATTAGTATAGGGTGGGACTAGGGAGCAAGGTCAGGCCAAGAGGCCAAACCCTGCCTTGCTGAGAGAGGTGGTCGCACAGGACACCCCGCCCCAAAGCGTTCTCCCATAAAAGCTCAGGTTCTCTGCTTTCAGCGAGGCTGCCGGGAAATAACCTGAATTTGCACAAACCCCCTGTACCCCCAATCTCCAGCCAGCTTTCCCACTCGCAACCAGAAGGCTGCGAGCTTTCCCGGTTCTCTAAGCCAATAACTGAAGGACACCCTCTCTCTCCCCAACACTCACTCCTGAACATTGTGCTGGTCCAAGGCAAGCCAGTCACCTGGGAGGAATTGGTATTCTCAGACTACTTCCAAGGTCTTTCCCGACCCATCCCTCAGAACAGTTTTCGGGACGTCCTGGGGCTACCGGGCGGCTTTTCCCCCCCTTTTTTTCTTTTCTTTCTTTCTTTCTTTTTTTTTTTTTTTTTTTGCTTGTCACTTCGCCCCAGGCTCCTCTTTAGAGCGTCCTAGGGAAGAGGCGGACTGAGAACTGCGAGGGGGGGGGGGAAGGGGAAGGAAGAAATGGGCCACGCAGTGTCCGCGGGAGTCCCAGTACGAGTTTCTGAGTACAAGCGCGTGCCCAAGTGGTGAGTGGGGGGCATTTCCCGGCCTGTCCAAGGATCTAGAGCGGTCCTGCCAGCGCAGAGCCAGACCCGGTTTCAGGGCAAGGCCTCCCTGCGCGCCGGGTGAGCAGCCAGCGCAAGGAGAGCCCAGAAAGGTGGGAATCACGGTAGAAACGTCGCCCAAGCGGCTCCTTTTCCAAACACGCTCTGGGAAGGGATTAGACGCCCCCAGCACTTTCGCTTTGGGCATGATTGATGCGAACGGCGCGCGGAGGGCTGCGTAATTAATAAAGATTACGCCAGTTTTGTCGAAATGTTCCTCTTAATTAATGAAGAAGGGGGCGCCAAGGGTGTTTGATTTGCATTTGGAAAATTCCCTGGGCGGCTCCGGCTCCGCAGTGAAGCGGCCGCTGGGACTCGGGACTAATTGGCAACTGCCCGGCGGAGGCTTTCTTGTTCCGGATCAAGTGTACCCCATCCTGTTCCCCTCTCCCCAGGAGCTCAGGCCCTCACTCAACTCTGCTGCATCCATCCCTCCTCGAGTGGGCCTCCTTGCTTTCTGTGAACATTGGCGGGCGCCCCTGCTCCCCAACCCCCTCACCATTCCCGCAGAGCCTCCTGATTCTTCCCCGTCCTTACCCCGTCGAGAGGGCACCTCCGGGAGCCTAGATCGCCGATCTTGGGGCTGGGCCAGGGCTTCCGTCCCTGCCCTGGGGGAGGAGGCCCGTGGTATGGAAAGAAGCATTTACTCCTTGTCTCTAAGGCCAAAAGGTGTTCAGGGAGCACCCTCCCCACCGTGCGTGATTGTGTGTGTGTGTGTGTCTGTTTGTGTTCTTATGTGGGTCGCATATTTCTGTGTTTCTAAACATCTGAGAGTGGTGCGTTTTGCTGAAATACTACCTTCCCTCTGGCCTTACTGTCCACCTGCTGCAGCCCAAGAAAAAAGAGCCACCTCTCCTGAGCGTTGCCGCAGTGAAACACTTTCGCTTTAACCGTAGACGTCTCCACCCTAGTATCGAGTTGGAGGGTGAAGCAAGCGCTCCCTACCCAGCAGGAGCTGGGGGCGGGGAGGTGGGAAAGACCCAGTGGCCGCGTGGAAGGCCTGAGAGCCGAAAAGCGGCTTCAAAGGTTTCCGTAACGACTTTTCGGCCTTTATTTATGCCCCTATTAATACAATATCCATCATGTAGATATCGATCTTTATCCTTTAAACTGATACGCTGAGAATCAATTAGCCATGCAGATTACGTTTCCTACATATCCAAATGTTAATCTCTTAGGCTCAGAGCCGGTGATAATATATTTTTGCAGCCAGATAGTATTAGATTTCGTTTAGAACAGGAAGAAAGGCTCTCTGAAGCTCCTTCCTCTTGGGGCTACTCGTCTTAACTCTTGGCTCAGCTGGGGCTGGGGTGCCCCTCACAGAGTTTTCCGGGGTGAAGAAGCGAGACCGCGAGGATGTTGTACGCTCAGGGCCGCCGCGGGGAGCAGGCCAGCTTTCTGCATGAGGGCTCTGGGAGGGCGGCGTGTTAGCGAGGGGTCTGCATGTCTGCCGCGTGTTCCCTCCAGCTAATCAACACGTCTAGCTGGCTCCTTTCGATGGGTTTCTGTGTTGGAGATGGTCAGTTTCCATCTTTTTAGAATTTTTCCACATGGTTCTGAATCTCCAAGGTTCTGAATCAAAATTATTCTCCAGTCCCTCGCCCCCAAACCTATGACTTGTTTAAAAGTTCCTCTCCAGAAAGAGAAATGTTATTTAAAAGAGAAAATGGGTGCTTTCTAGGGTGATGGGAGATGAAGAAAAAGTTTAAGGTCTAGAAAGGAATTTAATGCAAATCGTGTCTAGAAATTCAAGAAGCTGAGGCGTCCTGCTTTGGCGATGAGAATTTCTCCCCTCCTCCCTCCCTCCCCCACGCCTCCCCTTCATTCTTCCCTCCCTTTATTATTTTTAAAAATTTCTTCACTTCTTTCTCTCTTCTTTTCCATCCTCTCCGCCTCTCCCGCAATTTTGAAAGAGTGAGGGGTCGGGAGAGGACGTGTCTTGGGGGGCAGCCCTCCATGCATCTATGGTCTGTGCGCTCTCCGGAGATGCTCGGGTGGAGTCGGATGTCTCCGAGAAGCAGGTGCGCGCAGCACGCTTCAAAACGTCTCTTTGCAGTCCCAGGTCTGTGCTCCCTCAGGCTCTGGCCAGATCGCGCCGGGCTTCGCCCCTAACAACTCTGCCTCCTCCACCTGTTGCGTTTACTCCGTTTAGTTGGCTGTGCAGTCTCTGGCCCCACGTGTGCTTTTAAAACTAGAGGAACGCCGGTGCTGGCCTCATTCGCAGACTGTTGCCTCGGGCTCTCGTGATCCCCCTGAAGCGTGCGTCCAGGCTTCGGTTTGAACATTCGTCTCCCATGTTTCTCTGTTCTTGGTCCCCTCGTCACTCGCCCCTCTTCTCTGCTGCTGATATCCATCTCGAGGAGAAATTTTCTGCTGGGTTGAAGCGGCTGCGGCTCACTGAGCTGGTTCAGGCGCTGGGGCCTCGTAGAGTCGGCAGGAGGTCTGTCTTGATCGAGGTTCCCCCCCCCCCCCCCCCCCCCCCGCCCAATACCTCCCTCCTCCTAGAGCAGGACACACAGCCCCGGCTCTTTGTGTCCAGGTGCCCGGAGGAAGGAGTTCCTGGAGTGGTCACTCACCTCCATTTTTGCTCCAGGCGTCAAGGAAACCAAACGGATCCCAAGTTTTCTTTTATTCAGTTCGGCCAGTTCGGCTCCCGCCCCCACCTCACTCTCAGCCTTCGCTGCCTCCGCACAGATCAGACTTTCCTGGCCTTTTCTAGACCCAGGCTGCCAGCCCCCAATGCCAGACAGTCCCCCAGCTAAGTAAGGCCCTTCAACGCTTATTCCTTCCACATACACCGGGTTCTTTCACACACACACATACACACGCCGCAAATACACACTCCCCAAATACACACACCAGAAGAGCAGTTACCGAATTCCTCTTGTAAACATCACTCCCACCCTACCATGAACTTTTACCTAATTGGGCAGAACATTTTTTGGAATATTAGACAGAACTTATTCTAATTTTTTACAAGACACCTTCCCCTGCTTCTCATGCCCCCACGCCCCCCCACCAATCGGGCTCTAGAATCTTGTTTTCCTTGTTCGCATAAAAATAATGTCCTCATATCCAAATGAACTAGGAAAACAGTTGCTGTGAGACTTATTCTCTTTCTTCCTCACTGACTTTCAAAATAAAAAAACCTCTCTCTTCTTCCCTTCTTTTATTTTTCCTTTCCTATTTTCCTTCTTCCTTCCTTTCTTCCCACAAACCGTATGTTCTTTATTGTAAACCTGCTCGCTCACACGTTCCCTGGGGCTCCCCCAGCTGCAGGAGCAAACCCACTTCGGCTGGCCTACACCACGTTTCAATGCGACGTCCACAACCTCATCCAGTCCCTTAATCCAAACTCATCCCGACTGATTTTTCGAAGGGGAGAAGAGCGGCGCCAATGCTTTTGACAAATAACTGCGGGGGGCCTAATGACCGTCACTGAGGCAGCGGCTGCTAAAGACCACGGGTTTAACCCGGGCCTTCACCGATCCTGTATCATCACATCCGGACCGGAAGCTCATGATCAGGAACCTGGCGTTTTGATGACCTCCCCCTGAACACCCCGCAGCCTGTCTATGGGATTGAACGTTTCTCGGCGTATACCTAACTTCTGCTGCATCCTGAGAGTCATGCCTGGGGCCGGGCGGGTGACCAGGAGCTTCTCTGCTCGACCACGTCAGCCTGCCAAAGCGCGGCCTTTCAGACAGGACGAAAAAGGCCTGAGTGGCAGACGCCACCCCCGCTCCCTACTAGGTCACGGGCTTTATTTTGCATAGATCATAATTTCCTCTTAAGACCTGTGTCTGGCTGAATATGAAGTCATCCCTCAGAGGCCCGGCGAAATGCATGGGACATGAAACCCTTGTGCCAGGGTCCACAAGTGCGGAGGCTGCGCGCTGAAGGGTGTTTTGCAGCCCAGGCCGAAGTCACCCAAGCGCAACTGGGCTGTAGACCCATGCATCCAAATGGGCTGCGAGGGAGAGCCTTCAAGTCAACAAGGGCATGCTTCCCCCAGGTTTGGACAGCCAGCCCGCTGTTAATTTCACCTGCAGCGTCTCTGAAACTGGAGGGAGAGGAGCAGAGGAGGCAACACAAGTTATTACCCCGCCCACCTTTTTTTTTTTTTTTTTTTTTTTTTGGTCAAATTATCCAAATATCTTCAAGGCTCCAGTTTCATTTAGAACGTGCACAGAGAGCGAGTGGACGCTACGCTCGTTCACAACACGGTGGTGGAGAGTCCCCCGGATGCTTTCTGGGTAATTTGTTAGCCCGGGGAAATGCCACTGCCTCCTAAACCTGGTTTCAAGGATGCAGGGTGCAGGCCCTTGCCTTCCAAGCCCCACCGCTGGGTCATTCTTTTGTCAATTAGCGCCTGTACCACGGCCAAATTTGGCACCAGGACTCCTTGGTCCACCGGCTCCGGATAGGGAGCACTCCTGCGACCTGTTGCTCCCGGGTTCTGCGGAGTCCTGGGCTCTGAGCAGGATTAGGTTTGGCGGCGTGTGGGCGCGATAGGCCGGACAGCCTCAGCCAAAACTGCTGTCCTGGCCATCCCAGGTCGTACTTCGGGGACACAGGCCACAAGAAATTTAGACTCCCTAAGTCTTTGAATGTGGCTCCGCTGTCCAGAGCCTGAGGGCACGCATCCACCCCTCTCCGGGTCTCTGGGGACCTTTGGCCGCTGCCCAGGTGGAGAAGGGCCAAGCTGATCCTCTGGGTATATGTGAACCTCGGAGCTCTCGGCAGAAGAGAAAGAGGCCGGAAAGGAGAGAAAATGAGTCGCCTCCTGATACTGGAGCTTTAGGACCCCAGTTCCCCAACGTCTTCCTGGCCTCTGTGTATACATTTTTATAGCAAGTGATGGCTAGTTTATTGACCAGCGCCCATGGGCACTTAAGACCCAGCTCGGCCGGCAGTACCTCTGCTCAGCGGTCCCGCGGGCTCGAAAGTCTACGGGACGGGGAGAAGGAAGCTTGTAGCAAGCGCCTCCCTCCAGCATCTGCCGGTCCCGGGAGAGAAAAACCCGGCGGGAGAGCGACGGGTAGACGCTGGGAGGGCTTGGAGACCAAGCCTCCAGCTCAAAAACAAATGAGACTCAACTCTAGACGTCCTTTAACTGCTCGCGGGGTCCCAGAGTTTCCTTTACTGAGAGTTGAGCCTACATTTGCCCTCTTGAAATTACACTTCGAGTACCTCCTCCACCCAACAATTACCTCTGAACCCAGGAAGTGCTCTGCTGGCTCTGCTCAACCTTGGAAGAAAACTTGGAAAAACTCTACCTCTCAAAATGCTATCCCTGAGACTGCGGCTTAAAAAATAAAGACACAGGCTTTGGTGGCCCCAAGTCCTTAAAAAAAAAAATGAGAAAATTTTCCCCTTGAAAATTTTGAATTATTTTATGTAAAATAAGGTTAAACAAGGTACATGCTTTCCTCATGGGTCCAGACATTTTTGGGAGTCTCCTGAGACTTGTCTCTGTCGCTCTGAGGGTCAACCAAGCCCTTTGGCATCAGGCAGGCTGAAAGCTTGTCTGCTTTCCCCACTGGTGCGTGGGTTTTTAAAGGGCCAACTTGTGGACTGCTGAGCAGCTATTCCCCACCCCCCATCTTGCCTTTTGAGTGTGCCTTAATTAGGGAATGGGGAAGTAGGGTTGGGGGCCCGAGTTCACGTCAAAACTGTGAAAGGAGGTGGGGGGGGGACACAGAGAGAGGAGTGGGGAACTCTAGGCGCAGGAAAAATTCCAAAATCGTAAAAGGAAAAGGGGGAACTTGAAGCCCAGAAGTCATTGTTTCCTTTATTTCAAAGGGAAAAACCTGCCCGATTCTCATCCTTTTGATTGATTAAGGCCCTGAATAACTCGCGGCCCCGGAGTGACAGTCCCTGAATAGACTCGAGCGAATAAAGCGCAGTGCAGAGCGCGGGGCTGGCACTCGGGGGTGTAAAGGAGGCGAGTTCGCTGGCACTTACCAAGTTATAAATAAAAGGCTATGCACAATGGTACCTTCTCTAAGGACAGACAGTCTTTACAACACTCCTGGCGTCATATCCTGCTGGGGACACTTCAGCTCCTAGCCAAGACTTCGTTCCTTTTATTTTTCCAGCAGTTTAGTCTGAATGCCATAATAAATTCCTGAGAACAAACGCAGCACTCGGGCAAAACTTTAACATATAGACACATCTCTGTCAACGCATCGGGGATCTATATGTAGAGATTTAGAGCCGCAGCTTGCCAGAGCGGTTTTTAAATCAAGAAGAGGAGCCTGGTTTTTTTCTGCACCCTCCCCCCCATGCCCCCAGCCTTCAACTAACGACTGCTTGGGCCTAGCAACGGCGGCCTCTTCTTCACACTAGGCCCGCTTGCAGACGGAGAAGACAAAAGAATGTCAGCACGCTCTGGACTCCTCCTAGGAGGAACCCCATAGGGAGGACCCCTTAACAAGCCTAGGCCAAGGGGCACTGGCCACAGGAAGCAAAGGTAAATATGTCTGGGGCTCCAGATGCCTTCTTATTGGAATTGTGCCCCCTCCAGTGGCTGTAAGCCAAGAGAAATGAGAGAGACCCACAGGTAGAAAAAATGAGACATAGAGAGAGACACAGGAAATCACAAGAGGAATAGAGGCAGAGGCAGAGCAAGACACACACAGAGAGACACAGAAAGAGACAGAGACAGAGAAATAGAAAGTCAAGAAAAGAGAGACCAGAGAGAGAGACACAGAGAGAGACAGAGAGAGACGGAGAGACAGAGCCTCTTCTCCACCCTCAGCAGCGGCCACCTCCCTAAGGCTGTCTCTCTCAGTTTCCTCTGGGGCCACACTTCTCTCCTGGGCTAGGGGCGCAGCGCGGGTCCCCCTCGGGGCCCGGGGCCGGCAGAGGCCTCGGCACCACCAGAGATGGGAAGAGAAAGTGGCCGCTGTCGCCCAATCAGCGCGTGTCTCCGCCACCCGGGACGGTCTCCTCGTCGGCCAATCGCAGCTCAGGGCTCCTGACCAAGCTTTGGGGAAAAGAACTAATAAATGCTCCCAAGCCCGGATCCCCGCACTCGTTGTCACGACTGGAGGAGACTTAGGCAGGCCGCGCTCCCGCCTCACTCTGCTCTCCGGCTGGCCGTGGCTCTCTGAGCCCTCTTTTCAGAGCCCCCAGCCTCGGGAACATTCGCCCAGACTCGCACCAAACTTTTCCGCCCTGGGCTCGGGATCCTGGACTCCGGGGCCTCCCCGCCCGCCCCTTTCCCGGGTTCCAGCTCCGGCGTCTGGACTAGGAACCGGCAGCCCCCCTCCCCGCGTCCCTCCCGCTCGCTTCAGCCGTTTTGGGGAGGAGCTCTCCACGCTCCGGATAGTTCCCGAGGGTCACCCGCGCCGCACTCGCCTTTCCGTTTCGCCTTCACCTGGATATAGTTTCCAAGCGAAGCTGCCCCCAGGATGACCACGCTGGCCGGCGCTGTGCCCAGGATGACGCGGCCGGGCCCGGGGCAGAACTACCCGCGCAGCGGGTTCCCGCTGGAAGGTAAGGCAGGGCCTCGGGGCGCCGCCTGGACCCCAGGGCCTGGGACCGGCTGCCTCACACCATCCCCGGGCTCCAAAGGCTCCTTTGGTGCTTCCAGGAAGCCCATTTCCCCAGGGACCCCACCCCCCCAGAAGCACAAGTCGGGGGCGAGGACCCACTAGACTTCCTTTCTGCAAATAGAGCGCGGAGCTCTCTGTAAATCCTGGTGGAGCTGGGCGGCCAGGCCTGCACCGGGCCGGGGCGACTTTGCCCCTGTTGTTTTAGAAATGCTGCGGTGGAGAAGGAGGTGAACCGGCTTCGGAGCGCCAGAAGCAACTTCTCCGCAATGTGTATACTCGAAATTGTCTCGACATTATCCCGGCTGCTCCCACACTTGTGAAACATATGTTAGTTCAGGAAGAATTTTCTTGACCTGCAAAATTGTGGTAGCTAACTCCGCGCCATTGTGATTGGAATTTTTAGAATAAATAAATAAATTAGAGTTCTATTTGTCTCAAATGGCATCTAAAAGTTTCTATAACTTGTTTAGAAACTTGGGAGCCGCCTTTCAGTCCACTTGAAGACTCTGGAAATCGCGGGGAGGCAGGAAGCTTTGCAAGCCTGAGTCCCTTCAAATGGTTTTCCAGGCTAGGGGGCCCGAGCAGAGAGGTTCATTCCCCTTCCACCCCTTCACACATATCCCAGAGTAGAAGGTAACACCCAGAGCAAGAATGGGGGCTAGAGGGTCCGCTGCTGTGGTTCCTGTCCCAAGATGTAACAGGTGACACAGGCACTGCTGCTTGGGCCTCCTTTCTGGGTCCTCTTTGACCTTTGGCTGCTGCACGGTTAGCTAGAAACCCCAAGGGCTGTCAGTTCGCCCAAGTCCCTTAGAAAGGGAGCGATCCCAATTGGACAGGGTTCGGTGGGAGCAGAGTTCATCAAGGCCAGCGGCTGGGTGAACTTCTCCTTGCCAGGATGCTGTTTCTAGAGGAAGCTAGACTCTCTACCAGCTGCAGGGTTACCTTGTAAGTTGCCACTCCTCCTGGGCCCGAAGGGGAAGATGCTTTCTTTGGGGAGAATTATTTTGCCCCACTTGCTATCTCTACACAAGATTACAACCCCCTACATCGGTGAACAATTTGAACAAATGTGATCGAAGAAGGTCCGGGTCTGGGAGTCCGATGTGGAGCAGTTTCAGTGTCGGTGCTTTCTATTCTCCCCCAGTGACTCTCCTCTTGCCTCTCTTTTTCACCTTCTCCCCACAGTGTCCACTCCCCTCGGCCAGGGCCGCGTCAACCAGCTAGGCGGCGTTTTTATCAACGGCAGGCCGCTGCCCAACCACATCCGCCACAAGATCGTGGAGATGGCCCACCACGGCATCCGGCCCTGCGTCATCTCGCGCCAGCTGCGTGTGTCCCACGGCTGCGTCTCCAAGATCCTGTGCAGGTACCAGGAGACCGGTTCCATCCGTCCCGGTGCCATCGGCGGCAGCAAGCCCAAGGTGAGCGGGCGAGCCTTGCCCTCCTGGCTCCCAGACTGTGGTCTCTTGTGTTGGAGAAGAGCGGGCAGGGTCTGACATCTGGGGCTATCCAATTAGTTATTTTTGAAGTTTGCGAAGGTGTGTAAAGGTGTGTGTGTGTGTGTGTGTGCACGCGCGAGCACGCGCGCGCCCTGGACACTTCTTGATGAACACTTAGGGAAAGCTCTCACCTTTTTGCGAGGGAAAAATAACGTTTGTTTTATAAAGCCCATAAATCCTGGAATCCTCATCAAATTATTTTATTGGATAAACACCTAAAACAGGCAAGCTGTTTGGGCTCACCTGTTGCCGATTTCTACCCCAAGTGTTTTCCCAGCTCCCACCCATGGCACCGCCCTTTCCAAAACCAATGTGAGGAGCCTCTTTGGGTTTTATAATGGTTTCTCTCCCAAACCCCGCCCTTCATCTCCCCCAGTGCAAATTGTTTTCAATGAGTCCAAAAGTAGGGTGATTAGTTTTCTTTGTAATAAGCCAATGCCTCCATTAAACATAAGAAGCATTTTGGTGCTATCCTCGAATTATTTTGGTTTCCTTTTTACAAAGAAAGAGTCACACCAGCTAGGGCTGAGTGGGAGGAAATTACACAAGGTCTGTCTTTTCTTCTAGTTGCCACTGGGCAAAATCAAGAGAGTTATGGTAAACTGAAGACCTCCAAACACCTTCCTCTTCCTTCCCACCTACTCAAACCCCTTGACAGCCTTTCTAAGAATCTTTGAAACCTCCTCCTCCTTCTTCTTCTTTAAAATATATATTGGGGTGGAAAGAAGAGTCAGTCTCTCAAATTATTTATATTTGTTATCCACTCTAATTTTTAAAAACCGAAATACCTTTGCATGTCAGTCTTCACTTTAGCATAACTATCCCTTTGGAAAAGCAAGGGCTGCACTAGCTTATCTAACTTGATTTCTCAGCTCCTTTTTCAAACATTGCGTTTTTAGTTTCATTTTCATGTTGGTTCTGTGTAAGCAGTTGCCTTATTTCCAGAGATGAGAAAGTACCCCCCACCCCATCAAGATGTTATAATTCTTCTGGATTTATCCCGGTTGTCTGGGGCTTATGGGGGGGGGGGGAAGTAGAGGCTCCCCAGGCTGCTCAGGTGTAGGATGTGTTCTTGTCGGTCCCTTTGTCCCTTTCTAAAGTGCCTCTGAGAGTTGGGGTCTTTTTGCTAACAAAGGGGGGCCTTCCCAGAGGATTCAGGGAGGAGCAGCCTGACAGGCCCAGAGGCTGCGGGTCGCCGCCACCTGGCCCAGGGTACCGGGTACCAACCCCTGCCCGCCTGTTCTCTTAAAGCAGGTGACAACGCCTGACGTGGAGAAGAAAATTGAGGAATATAAAAGAGAGAACCCGGGCATGTTCAGCTGGGAAATCCGAGACAAATTACTCAAGGACGCCGTCTGTGATCGAAACACGGTGCCCTCAGGTACTAGGCCCATTAACGTCTCCCCGAGGCGCGATCGTCACTCGCTGTTATCCAGACAGGTCGACCAAGACGTAATCACCCCAATTATCGATCTCCGCTATTGGGAGGTGGCCTCTCCCGAGGCCCTGAAATATTTACCAACCAGGCGTTCTTGGCACTTAATGCAGGGAGGGGTCAGCTGCTTGTCCTGGGGGTGGAGGGTGGTGAGACCACCGCTGAGGACTCCCCGAAGAAGATTTCTGTCTAGGAGGCAGGGCAGGAAACGTGAGGCAGAGGCAGAGCGTTTATTAATATTGATGTTCCCTTTTAAAGAGAAACAAATGTTTTGGTAACCCCAACCGAAGGGAGATGGGGCCGCGCCGGGAGGGACTTTGCAGTATGCTCAAAGCCGAGGAGGCTTCGACAAGGGCCCAGATTTCACCCGAGAGTCTCAGGAACCGTCCGGAGGCCCCAGCAGCCCGGGGGAGGCGGAGGGAGAAGAGGGGCGAGCATGGGGCCAGTGCGAGGGCGCAAGGGAGGGTTTGTTTTTAATTAAAAGGAAACTCCCTTTTTCCCTCTGCGAGAAACATACATTTCGGAGCATGGATTTGTTTACCAGACTGGAATCTGGAAAAAATAAATGGGAGAGAGTGCGTTTTCTTTTTATTTTTACAATAGGAAACGATTCTGCAGTTGGAAATATAAACCCTTTATAGCTTTTTTGACGAGGAAAAAAACTTGATTTACAGTGGGGGACAGGTCGGCTTTGGCTCTTCCTCCCTTAAGGCGAACCGCAGGATCCCTGCATTCAGGTTGGGAGGACGGAGGGTACCCTGTGGGCTGATGCATGAATTCTCTTAGATTGGAGACCTAGAGCCTGGTCTTTGGAATCCAAGAAGGGAAATGCTTTCTGCCCAGAATCGAGGGACAGGGATAGCATCCCGCCCTAAATTGAAGCACGGACTCCCAGGCTCCGTCTTTCAGTACCAACTTATAGATAATAGGGAGGGGGATTTGAGCGGCAGGATGAGAGGGCTGGAGAAAGATGTGGATGCCCAGGGACGCCGGAGGAGACTCTCGAACAGTGCAGGTCCGCTACTCTAGGGCCCCGACTGGGGGTTGGGGGCTCCTTCCCGCACAGCCGCACTGGTCTCAACCCCGTGCACTTCCTTGCTTCCTTCCTCCCCACCCCCCACCCCCCGCCCTCAGTGAGTTCCATTAGCCGCATCCTGAGGAGTAAATTCGGGAAAGGTGAAGAGGAGGAGGCCGACTTGGAGAGGAAAGAGGCAGAGGAAAGCGAGAAGAAGGCCAAACACAGCATCGACGGCATCCTGAGCGAGCGAGGTAAGCGGTGGCGCCTTGGGCTGCGCGCTCGCTCGGGGCCTTGGTGGGCATCGAGGCCCTGGCATTGAGGACCTGATGGCAGCCCAATGGATCGGCTCGGATCAAGGTTCCCTCTGGTTCACCGTCTCTGTACCTGGGTAAGGGCATGGGAGTAAAGACCAGAGAGACTCGAGGAATTAAAACAGACATCTCTATTCTGCTTTGTTTTTCTTTTTTAAAAAATCTTTCTTTCTTCCCACTTTCAAACTCTGGGATTCTGGAACTGTGAATTGTACTCCGTAGTGCGGGGCAGGGGAAGCTGTTAACCCTCTTGCCATTAAATGTATGAGACTGGGCATCTCTGAGCAATTGGAGGGCCGGGGATACAGGGTGCTTGAATCTTCAGAAGTTACGGTAGCTTTTATGCTCTCAGGAAAGGCCCTGGTCTCCAGAGTTTCCCCGCATTGGGGGGGGGGGAGAGGGAGAGGGAGAGAGAGAGAGACAATGACCCTCCAAAAGTTGCCCCCACATCGGCTGCTTTATAAATGTGTATGTTGACCGGTTTGATTTGTTTAAAATTGGTTTTCAAATGTGATGAAGTTTAACCTATGTGTGTCTGGGAATTGAAAGGAACTCAAGCTCTGTGTCACAAAGGGAAGGGATCTGGGTTCTTCGACAGAGTGCTGGCACTCTGTCTTCTAGGGGTACAGATCCCCATTCCTTCTCGGCTGTGCATTGTCACAACTAAGAAAAAGCCTTCCCCTTGGGAGACAGAAGTGCAGCTTGCTTCTCCTTCACCTGCAGCAAGTCGTCTTCAAACTTGAAGGTGCACACACAGAAAGAAGGAAATAAAAGAAAAACGCCATCAGAGTTGAACCAGGAAGGGATCATTGCAGGGGGAGACAGGGGGATTGTGTCTCAGTGGATTTGGCCTTGGAGGTGGTTGCCTCTTTTCAAATGTGCAAATGGTCAAGAGTGGCCAGAAGCCCCACTGTGCCTGAAGTTTCCTCACCTGGGACTTGGACTTCATGGAGCAAAGTTAGTTTCAGAGTTGCCAGAGGAACAGGCAGCTTTCCAGGTGGGCTCAGAGCTGTCGCCGAATGCGACTAGCTCGGTCCAAGCTCTTACCAGAGTGGCACCACGTTGAACTTCTTTTATCTTCATTGCCCAACTCTGGCAGCTACTGGCTCTCCTGAGCAGCTGCTTTACAAACCAAGGCAAAATCTGTACACAACCTGGAAGGAACATTTAGATCTGGAAGTTACAGATCCAAATGCTGATTTGAGGTGAAAACAAGTGTAGATACTCTGGTGCGCACAAGAAATCGAGAAAAGACACAACAAACCAGCAGGTTGGGTAGGGAGATGCTTCCTTTGCTTTACAACAGGGACCTCCTATGGACTCAGCCTAAATCCTCTTTTTGGAGATGTACCTTTTTCTGCCTTGGTCTCTGAGAAGACACCTTGGCTTTTATCCCAGGCCTAGCTGTACCGTAGCGGTGCTGAGAAAGGACGAAGGCAGGGAGACAGACAACCCCAAACAAAATGTGCTCCTGTGGGCAGTGGGAAGAAGAGCCCAGACCGGTCAGAGAGGCTGGGGGCCCAGGGCTTTGCTACTTGTTGCTGAAGGCACCGGCCCGGCAGAACGGCTGCTCTCTGGCAGTACAGGCGACTGAGGCCCAGGAGACAAAACGTCCCAAATGAGCTGGTCAAACATTTGTACAACTTTTCCAGCTTTTACAAAGAAGCCCTTCTCTACACAATCTACACTTGGAGATGAACTTGGGAGACAAAGCCTGGAGAGTCCATTGAAACTCACACTTTAGCTCAGCCCAGACAAAGCTCTAGCTCGGAGCAGCTTGATGTGAACAAAGGAAGGCAACCTTTTTATAATTCAAGGAGAAAAGAAGAGAAAACAGCACCACAAAAGGCTGAGAATAGACATTATGGGCTTGCAATGAGGGATGAATTATTCAATGAGCCCCAATAGCTGCTGCGCCAGGAAGTTTTATGAACTCTCCAGCGTGGAAAAAGTGGCCATTTCACCTACAAAATGTTTCTAGTCTTTTGGGCTGTCTAGCTGGGCCGGCTGCCATTCAAGGGCAATTGCTACCATTTTTAAAATCAGAGTATTCTCCCCAGTAGGGGCTGTGCTGTTGGAAACACACACACACACACACACACACACACACACACACACACGCACACCCACACCCACACCCCTTGGAGCTGAAGCCTAATTTAATTTGGGGTTGTCAGGGAAGATGCAGCGTCAGTCTCTTCAGCACCTCTAGCTCCTTTTCAGATGAGCCCTGGAGGGCAAGAGAGACCTAGAGAAAGGATAGAGTGTGGTGCAGTTTGAAGCGTAGAAACTTCAAAAACCCCCTTCTGTTGTTTAGGCATCAAAAATCCCAGGCTGCCCACTTGTAGAATAGAATGAACGTTGATAAAGTACTCCTAGTGTCCTAGCAGAGGGGGAATAAAAAGCTGAGAGAGGAGGGACTTTGCCGGTTTCCAGTTGGTGAGTCTGGTGGCTGCTGCCGAGCCTGGCTTTTCAGGGGACAACTTTAGCCTGAGGTCTGCTTGGCAGACACTAGGACAAAAGGATTGAGGCATCTTGAATGGGGTCAGAATCACCCTCATTCTCTCTACAGTGTCCTTCTCCGAGATAGTCCCCTTAACTTTCCCAACTTTCCCTTTTCCCTCGCTCAATCCAAGAGCTGAGCCGCTGGCAGAGCTGGTGCGCTCAGGCCCGCGCTCCCTAGCGGGCACGCACTAAGCATGATGCACCCTTGCAGGATCCAGCCTTCCAGCTCTGTAGCCCAATAGCAAGGAGAGCGCTGGGCGGCTCACGAACACTACCCCCGCCCCGCTAACCCCAATCCCCCTAGCCCCTGATCGTGGCATCCGGGGTTGTGGGCACGGCCCCGCGCTGCGGCCGCTCAATGGGCGCCTCTGTTCCTCCCCCAGCTCGGCCGAGCGGGCCCGCGGGCGCCGCCACAATGGGCAGGGCCCCCACTCCTGCGCTCTGCGCCAAAGCGCCGCGCCGCGCCGCGCCGCCCCCTCCCCTGCGCTCTGGCCGGCTCGAAGCTTAGCTCGCCGGGCTGCAGCCGACTCAATTGCCTCCTTTATGTCCTTCTCACTTTCATCTAGACACAGCCCGCCTCCCCCCTTCTTCTCCTCTTTTTTTCTTCCCTTGCCTGAGGCTCACATTTGTGAAATTTCTGCAACCTCCCCCCATTTTTTTTTCTTATTTTAAAGAAAGCCCTTAACACAAAAGCGGTGACTAATCAATAGAAACTGCCCCTTCATCATCTCCTCCTCCTCCTCCACCCTTCCTCCCCCTTCTCCGGCAGGGTGACGCTTTTCCTGTTTGTGAGTTTTGGGAAACATTTTTGCTTTGTGCAGTAATGGAATTAGAGGACAGATGAGGACTGTAAATGGACACGCGACTGCAAGACTCTCGCTTAAATATTTAGATGCAACGTTACAATTACTGACTTGTTGTAGCGGCTTTGAAGTGGCAGCTCCAGAGTGCAGGGGGAGAGAGGCCAGATTGCCAAATTGATGTTTTGATTGGGGACTGGCGATACACTCTCATAAGACTTTCCTCCCTTTTAAAATCACAAGTGAGCGTGGGAGGTTTGCAAAAATGTAAAAGATTTCTCTAAGAGATCTCAAGCATAGGTCGGTTGAGGGGTTATATTCCTTTCCTATCTGTCCCTTCCCATTTGACATTTACAAAAAAGAGCGTCTTTTACAAAAAATTGGAGAAAGTAAAAGTGACCAAAGTTTTGCTCAAGTTTCCATTTTATTTGTAAGCTTGTCAGCTTTTGTAAAGTTAACGAGGGCGACTTCAGCTTTTTGGGGGGTGGGTAGGGGGAGATAAATCAGTTTAAAACGCAGAAAAGCATTAGAGGTCTTTGGAGTATTTTATTTCCAGTGAAATCATGAAAAGAGCACTTTTATCCTTAAGGGATTGCTGAAATCAAGGAAAACGAAGGGCCGTTTCTTTCCCTGTTAGCCGGAAGGGACGTTTTGGACCAAGGTTGGGAGGAGGGGAAGGAGGGGGACAAACTTTCCCATAGATTAAAATCATTGGGTGTAGGATCATAGGTTTAATGGCATCGGATCCTTTATTCAAGTGGACTGACCAACCTGCTCACCAAGTCCATTTGTTAGAATCACCAATTCGACCTCAACGCCGTCTCGATTCTTTAGAGTAAGTTTCATGTTTTCTGAAGTCCTTGCAAAACTCAACAAAGAAATATCACCCATTTTAAAAAGTATTGGAAGTATCAGAACTTGAATTCTATTAGAATACCACGCCGTGTTCTCGTTGTTAATGTCGCGGGAACAATTTTCCTGCTGGAACGATTTGAAAGCAAACACCAGAGTTCAGCTCCTTGCTTTTTCTTTTTCGCCTGTTTGGTTTGGTTGACTGCTGTGTGCTTACTTTCTAGCCTTATTGAAAACATGCAGATTTTCTAATTAATGCTTGAAATCGTATGTTTATTTTGGGCTTTGATTTGATCGTTGATAGCACCGGAACCAGGGCGTAGGGGCTTCTAGTGCGTAATAATTACTGAAGGGTCATTTAAAAGTCCCCAGGGCTGAGCAATAAAACCCACCCGGGCGGTGAGGCGGAACCAGTCAGCGCGCGGCGGTTCAGGCGAGTGGGATATATACAAATCTGTCACGTGAATAGGAGCGTGGTCGCTAAATCCGAATGGTTTCAGCATCCATGAATACACGTAGTTTGAGAACAACAACAACAAAATTCTTCCTAACTATGAGACTAAATGTTTAAGTTGTACATACGTAAATGGCCAATGAAAATGAAAATCTGCAACCGTAACAACAAACGTGGGAAATAGAGTTTGGCTTGTACTGGAACAGAAAATGTTTGAAGTTCCGTTGGATTCTGTACGACAGGTAACTTATCTGTGAGGGTAAATAAAGATTAAAGAACCATTTAGAATGTACATATATAGCTAACAAGACACTAAAAGGCAATTAAGC